GCATCTGATCTTCACAACATCTCTATGCAAGAGATATCTCTGTCCCACTCCAGAGTTGAGTAAACTAGGCTCAACGAGGTTAAATGACTTTCCCAACAACTTACCTGCCATCATATTCTGCAGAATTTCATGAGATACAAAGGACCTCCCTATTGGTTCCCTGGGATCTTTGGAAAATCTAGGCCTTTCACCTTGTTGGGAAGGGCCTTGCCTCTGAGGTCTGACCTCAGATTTCCCTCCTCTGATCCTTTGGACTCCTTCACCTGTTCTTCCTGCCTCCGATCTGAAGCCAAGCTATACCTGAAGGTATGAGTCCTGTCCCCTCCCCACCCTGCCACTATCAAGAGCTCCAGGTCCAGGCCTTTGGCTCCTAGGGACTTGCTGTCTCATCAGCCCCACCCCACCCCTAGTCAGCTCAGTGACGTCAGCCACTGGGAACTCTTTCCTCCCAACTCCCCACTCTGAGCCCTCTTGAGGTCTATTTTCCCAAATTAAACAATTGAAATTTTGTTATTAGACAATTAAATGAAAATTTCTAGAGATGGGGTCAAACATTAATATGTTTTTAAAACTTTCCCCCAGGAAATGATAAGGTGCAGCCAAGTTGGGAACCTCACCTGAAAGCACCTGGCCTGTCGGTTCATTTCAGGGAAATGAGAAATTTTGCAACAGAGAAATAACACTGAGTTCCCATTTTTCTGTTTGCTTCTATCAGCCCTGAATCCTGCCCACCCTTCATGTCTGATAACACCCTATTGTTCATTGGAAAGAATGCTGTAGTCACACCTTTGGTGCAGGGAATCACTCTATGAACAGGTTGACTCACCTGTAATCAGCTGATAAGCCTATGCCTCTTGCTCAGAATATCAAAAAAGAAACAAAGTGGCTAAAAGAGAAATCTACCTCCTTAAGGAACAGTTTCCTGGGTTACTTGTCTATGGAAAAGGATTAGAATCCCAGATGGTAGAATCTTTTAATTGGAAAGGAAGTACAGATGATAACCATATACCTCCATGGTTATTACTAGACATAGGGGGATTCTAGCAACGAGTGATGGAGAACATTTCCTCCTACTTCCTGGTATCTGCCTCCATCACAGCTTCCACTTTCAGAAGAACCTCCCAAGGAGTTTCCAAAGCATGGAAGACTTTGGTTCACCCATCCAGGCCAAGTGGTGGCTCTGACAGTGGCCCCACAAGATATAAAACAATGTTGTGTGTTTTCCAACTGCAGGCTAAAAGAAAGAGGTGGGCCCTGGCCTGTTTGGCTCAGCAGTTAGAGCGTCCACCTGCGGTCCTGAGAGACCCGGGTTCGGTTCTCGCTAAGGGCGTGTACCTTGGTTGCAGTTTGTACCCGGCCCTGGTCGGTTGTGCGGGTGGCAGCCACTCGATGTGTCCCTTCACATCGATGTTTCTCTCTCATTCTCTGTTCCTCTCTCTCCCTCCCACTCTACCTGAGCAAAAAATGGAAAAATGTCCTCGGGTGAGGATAAAAAAAAAAAAAAAGAAGAAGAAAGAGGTGGGAGTAAGCTAGAAGGAGATTCTGGATATGAAAAGGAACTCAAGATCAGGGTGGACCCCTGGTTCAAAGCCGGTGCCAGTGTTCATCAGAAATCCAGAGGTCAAGAAAGAACAGGAAAGCCCTGCCTGGTGTGACTCAGTTGGTTGGAGCATTGTCCTGTACTCTGATAGGTGGCGGGTTGCATTCCTGGTCAGGGCATTGGCAACCAATTTATGTATCTCTTCTCTCTCTCTGTCTCCCACCTGCCAGCATTGCCATCCCTTCTCATCCAACAGTGTCAGCGAAGATCACATACCTCAGCCATAGCCATGGCACACATGTGATATGTTTTCAGGAATGAACATTAGAATCACTCAATCAAAAGAGATTCAGTGACCCCCATCCTTGCCAAGAGTCTGGAATAAGTGTAATTTTTCATAGAATGAGAAGAAAACATTCTTTATCCTACTTGTTTGATTATTGTTTGTTTGGTGGGTTAGCTAGTTGGGTGGTTGATTGGTTGATAACTTTTTGGTTGTGTTAACCAGATGCCTTGCTGGGTGCTTTATAAAAGAGATAAATGATTTGGTTCTCTGAACAACTTAAGGCTTAAAATATCATAACAAAGCAGGTTCCTGGGTAGACTTGAAGTTCATAAGAGGTCCATGGGGACAAGGTGGAGGGAAAGTCAAAGACCTTCTTCTCATATATCTAGTTTTCTGGTAGCAACATCCAAAGACAGCACAGCCTTGAGGCTATTTCTTGAACTCTTGGACTGTCCCACAAATGTCTTCTCCATAGCTATCCTGAACCACAGGTTTATGGTTTAATTGTGTGTGTTAAAGAGAATTAGAGCTACAGCACATGCTACTATTAGAAAGTGGTTCTATTATGATTATGTAACCAAGGTATTCCCAAGATGAAAGAAATTAGAGGTTCAGAATTTCCAGTAAAAATGTAATCTTCTCAGGTTGTAAGTTGCTTGAAGGCAGAGACTATTTTTTTAATGAAACTTTATACCACCTACAGCATCTAGCAAAAGGTTTTGCAGAGAATTTGAGCTTTAAAATACTTGATGAATAAATGAATGCAAAAATAAGATGAGACTGATATATCCTTTATTCTAGTTGGTTGATTATTGTTTGTTTGGTGGGTTAGCTAATTGGGTGGTTGACTGGTTGAGCATATGAATGTGTTGTTTGACTTTGAGAGTACACCAACATGTGCTGGATGAATACAGAAAGATGTAAATGAATACACAAGTAGGTGACACATGCTTGCATTCACCAATGAGGGAATGAACAGGGTGCTTGTTACCAGTATCCTATGGGGCCAGAAAAGCTATCAGGCAAGGCTTGGGAGGTCACAGGTGACACACTAGAGCCCTTCTATATTAGGAATGAATTCAAGGGCCACTCCAAGGCCCTCATGAGTACTCTTTGCCTTAGTGGGGTTACCATGGCTCTAGCATCAGAATTCAGCTGCAAGTCCAAGATGACACTGTTACCAATTCTTCCAGGAATGAATGGTCAGAACCCAGATTGATCTACATCATAAACCAACACATCTACTCTGGAAATATAGTTGCTAATAGGACCAAGACTGATAACGGCTGCTTGTAGAATGATCTTCCCAGGAGAGAAGCAAAGTTAAAATCAGAAGTTTCTTTAGAGAAAAGAGACTCAGAACCTAGTAAATGGAGGTCAGTGGCACAGAACTAGAGTAGCTGATACCATCATCACTACACAAGGAGACACCTGATGAAAAAGGGCCTCCATTCCTCAAACACTGCAGAGGCTCTTTAATGAATTCTGCATGATCTACCTATTCTTTCCCAATATATTTCATTGATTGCCATTTCTTCCATCATGACAAATTGCTTCATGATACATACCTTAGGGTAAATAGCTGGCAACTCCACTGATATTGCTCATACTTGAGATGGAAATCTTCCCAAACAGATTGGAGAGAATTCCCTCCCAGGGCGTCCTTGTTTCTAGAGTCACATTTATAAATAATCTCCTGGGACAGGTTATTCCCCGAGATAATTTTTGGAGAATATTCCTTTATCCCTTCTTAGCATTCATTTCAGCGGATGACATTTTATGGCCAAGACAGCGAGTTTGGAGGATACATTCTGTTAGGAGCATACAGGTCCCTGTACCTTGACAGCAGCCAGACCTCTGCCAGGTGTTCCAGGATAAGGTACCTCAAAACAGTGCACTGTGATGAGAAAGTAACCATTTGAGAGTTTTGGGTTTAACCCCAGCTCTGTTTTACCCTTGCTATGTGTCCTTGGGCAGGTTACTTAACCTCTGAGTCTCAATTTCTTCCATTATAAAATTGAGGCAATAATATTGCTTTTATTACAAGGAGTTTTCATGTGGGTTATATTTTTTAATGTCTGAAAAAGCCCTTGTTGGCTTTCAATCTAAAGTAGCAATTACTATGTCTACTAGAGTAGAATGGAGTTTTGCTTCCCCAGTTCTTCAGTCCTGCTCTACTAGAACTTCCCATGCTAGGGGACTTTCCCTCTGGAAGACATCAAGGATTCATTTGCCTTTCTTTTATAAGATTCATTATGCTTGCAGTGGACACGTTTACCGATTGTCTTTCCCACTTCAGTAAATGCTCTATGAGGGCAAAGACCATGTCTGCCCTATTACTTACTGCCATCTCATGCCTAGTCATGGGGCTCAGTAGAAGAGTATTGAGATCAATCTCTGCACTTTATGAACAACCTAGAAACCACTTTGGATATATCTGGAGAAGAGGTCATTGCAAGAGAGTCCCAGAAGGACCTACAGCTTCCATTGACCCTGGAAAGGAAACTGCTGGTAAACTGTGGTCATGTTGAAAGGCCTAAGATTGATATAGTATCTTTTTATATGAACCCAAAACCTATAGCTCGCCATGACCTTAGTAGTCCCTTTGGAAGAAGGTAAAAATACAGTGTCCTTGCTAGATCACTGAGTGACCTTGCTTCAGTGTATGTTATAAATGAATAGTGGGTTGTCCTAAAGTGAACGCAACTGTATGAAATATTGAGCCCACATGGAAAGACTAGAGAAAACAGATGTTTGGGTTAGAAGTCAAAGCAACTCAGTTTTACTATAAGGTCTACCAATAATTTTTAATGTCGCCTTAGTCACACCATTCCTCCTTCCTGACCCCCAGAATAGCAAGCTTTAAAATGAGGAAATGAAATAGATAAATTCCATTGACCCTCCCAGCTCCAACTGTCCATAATTTTCTCATTCTACAGGCATTTGTATGCATGTCCTTCATCAATCAGAGGATTGTAAGTCCTGGTTTTGCAACTTCCACAATTCCACATCCCTTGACAATAACAAGGTTCGCGTCATGGTTTATGGACTTGCTATTTCTCAGAAGTTTGGTGCTGGCTGGTTGTGGTTGCTTGATTTTATTAAACCAGAGCCTGATCAATCATTTTGAGCTGATCTTGTCTGTCTGCTTGTGTCTTGCCCCTTGACCCACAGCCATGCTGCAGGCAGTGCGAGCCCTGATGATCGTGGGCATCGTCCTGGGTGCCATCGGCCTCCTGGTGTCCATCTTTGCCCTGAAGTGCATTCGCATTGGCAGCATGGAGGACTCTGCCAAAGCCACCATGACATTGACCTCTGGAATCATGTTTATTATCTCAGGTAAACTAGGATCTGGGGTTCCTGCTGTCAAATGTGCTTCTGGGAATGTGAGAGCAAAAATCATTATGGCAGAGAAAACACAGCTTCTCCCTACTGAGCAAAGCTTGAGAGCTTTTCACACTGAGATTCAATATCTGATATTAAGGCCCAGTTACACTCCACAGAATTATCATGAGTGCTAAGGTCCCTCTTAGCTGCCATTCCAGTTCCATTATAAAAGATTCCAGCCCTGGCCGGTTTGGCTCAGTGGTTAGAGCGCCGGCCTGTGGACCGAAGAGTCCCAGGTCAGTTCCCGCTAGGGGCACGTACCTTGGTTGCAGTTTGTCCCCAGCCCCGGTTGGGGTCATGTGGGTGACAACCCCTTGATGTGTCTCTCTCACATTGATGTTTCTCTCTCTCTCTTTCTCTCTCTCTCTCACCCTCCTCTCCTCCCTCCCGTTCTGTCTGAAGATAAATGCAAAAAAAATGTTCTCAGGAGAGGATAAAAAAATTAAAATTAAAAAACTTAAAAATAAATAAAGGATTCCAACCCTAAGGCAGTAATGTGACTCAACTCTTAAAGGCATTATTTTGGTAAGATTCTAGAAAGTGATTTTAAGGGACATGCTCTTGACATTGTCAAAGAACCAGGCCCCACGTATTTGTACTATTAACCATTGGTTCCAAAATGCATAAAAAATCTCTTTCTGCACGTATACAAATCCTCCCACAATTAGAGAGGTAAGAGAGCCTCAGCACCTAGCACAATATCTAGTACAGAGTGGGAATTCAGTAATCAATGTTTGGATTAACTGTCTGTTATAGGAATGGAGCGTTCTGTAGCCTATTCATCTAAACTCGTTTCAGTATGCATTACCTCAGAAACATCATGATTGCTTTAAAGCTGACTCCAGAGCTTTCTTGTTTTTGATCCACAGGTCTTTGTGCAATCGCTGGAGTGTCTGTGTTTGCCAACATGCTGGTTACTAACTTCTGGATGTCTACAGCCAACATGTACTCCGGCCTGGGTGGGATGGTGCAGACTGTTCAAACCAGGTAACTTCAGAATCTAGGTCTCAGGATTCCTCAGTGAATATTGTAAAAATCCGATTAAACACATATGCCTAAAGTGACTATCAGTGCCTAAAATAGCAAAAACTTATCAGAGGCAACCATGCCATATCGTAAATCAATAATGATCTATAAATTCGTAACCTTTATTTCAGTGTAATATCCTTCATTATATGACTTGAGGCTGATCTGACATTTGCACTGAAATACAGTGACAGTTCACAGTATTTATCTAACACTCTTACACAGGCCCCATGTGGTGGCCGTGAACCAGGCACCATTAACCAAGGCATGTAAATGAGTATCAACCCACATCTCCAGTCCATGCTGGGAACCTGGTGAGGGACAGGTAAAAGCTTGAACAGAAATGAGCAAGATGCAGTTTAGGTGAAAAAAGTAACGTTTCATCCTCGTTCAGCTTGACTCTCTCTCGTTCAGTAATTCATTCATTCTACAAATGTATTGAGCACCTACTGAGGGCCAGGAACTGTTCTGAGTACTGGGGATAAAGACAAGGTCCCTGTTCTCAAGGAGGTTATGGTGTAGTAGAAGGATGTGCAACCCTACTATAATTTGATGTCTGAAGGAGGGCAGAACTTTTAAAAGATGGAAAAGCAGTTCTAACATGTGTATTCATTTAGCCACTTCAAAGGGACATTTCTCATAGCAAGAAGCAGCAGCAAATTCCTGAAGGAGAAAAATCTTGTTCTGAGAGAGCAATGTAAATATTATAGCCAACTAACCATTCTCTGGAGGAAATATACTTAGTGCTTCTTCAGCCACACCATCATGGGATACACACAGGGTACAAGGACATGGCCAACCCATTCACTCTCTGACTCCCTGGAACTCCTATCTCCACCCATGTCCCTGCTTTGCTTCAAGAATGGAAAGGAAGTGATTCCTATAGCTGCCCTTATCTACCTCCATAGTCCCCCCTCCATACTCTCTTGGTTACAGGAGCAACTTAGTTTACAGACTCATCCTGGTTTGCCTGGGACTTTCCCAGTTTTAGCCTAGAAAGTCCCACTTCCTGGAAAGCTCCTCTGTCACAGGCAAATCGGAAGAGCTCAGCTTGTCCACAGTTTCTATGTGCCTAGTGTCACTGTCCCTGCCCAGAGGAGCCACCTGCACCCACCTGACACCCAGCACTCATGCCTGTCATCACCCTCTCACACCATCACCCTAGGACCTGCCCCTGTCCCTTGGACAGGCAACTTCTGTCCTGGAATTAAGACCAGAGGATTCTGGTTGGCCTCCTGAACTTTTTCCTCCATGGATGGGCATCATTTTTTCTCTTCCTGTCTCTTCATCTTCTCTACACAGACTGCGCAGCTGCCAAGAAAGATCTTGGCAGTCAACTGATGAAGCTTTGGTTCTAGTGCCTTATTTAGTCCCAGCACCCCCTCTTCCTGCCCCTGACTTTGCCATTGCCATGATGAGTCTAACACTGACAGAATCTAAGCCCTGGACCAGAGCTACAAACTGGCTGTTCTTGCCCTGTATGCGGCTTATGAGGTGTTTTGTATTAGCATAAACATCTAATTTTATAATCTGAATTAATCACCAACTTTTTACAAGTGTCTCAGGTTGGATTGTTCAGAAGCAGATCCTAAGGATCCATGTGCAAGTGATTTATTGAGGACAGGGAGGCAGGTTAGAGGGTGGGACACACAGGACAGGGAAGAGGTGATCTCAGATGAAGTCTTGGACTCAGCCTGACCCCAGGGGGCTGTGGGGTCTTTCATACTTGAGCACCATCGGCCTCTGTGTATGAGGGGAAAGAGACTCCAGTGGCTGAACCAAAGCCAGAACTCCAGGGAGAGTCACAGGGACCAGCAGGTAAAGACAGAAGAACACAGGAGCTGAGGGAGAGACAAGGACCTGGGCAGAACACTGCTGTACCTGCTACACAGAGATTTCATAATGCTCACATGCTCACACTCACACACACACATCTTTTTTTTCACCTTCTTATAATAAAATCAGATCCAGCAGTGCTGGGCCCTCATTCTCAAATGGCAACATTTTTGCAGCTGAGAGACAGCTACCCTTTTAATTAGGGCTCACTCTCCAGGTGCCACAGTCCCCACCACTCTCAAATGCCCAACTCTGCGGTCATTTATTATATGTTTACGGTTTTCTACCCCATATAACAGAGTTAAGAAAGTGAAATATTTCCTTACACCCAGCCCACTTTACTCATTTAAGTTTCTTTCTTGTTCCAGATAGGTATATAAGTTTGCTAACCTTGATTAAGAGTGTCTAAGTTGAGCCCTAGCTGGTTTGGCTCCGTGGTTAGAGCGCCGGCCTATGGTCCAGAGAGACCCGGGTTCAGTTCCCACTAAGGGCACGTACCTCGGTTGCAGTTTGTCCCCGGCCCTGGTTGGATCATGCGGGTGGCGGCCACTCAATGTGTCCCTTTCACATCAATGGTTCTCTCTCTCTCTCTCTCTCTCTCTCTCTCTCTCTCTCTCTCTCTTTCCTCTCTCCCCCTCCCACTCTATCTGAACAAAAAGTGGAAAAATGTCTAAGCTGAGGAAGGGGAACTCATTCCTCATGCACAGAGGATAGAATTATTGAATGATTAACAGTGAGGGCTATGGAGGCAAAGTGACCTGCATTTGAATCCTGGCAATGCCACGTTCTTCCTAGGTCTTTGGAAAAGTTAATTAACCTCTTGAGGCCTTAATTTCTTCATCTGTAAAATGGTCACATCAATTTAGTTCTTTATGAAGACAGTACTCCTACCTGCATGGGTAGTAGCCAGGGTTACTTGAGGTAGATGAGATGAATGCTTCTTGGCCCATAGTAGGAACTCTAGGGACCAAAATTCCTTCAGAAATAATCACTTGAGACTGATTCTCTCAAATTTCTCTGGTTAAACTGTCAAGACATTCCCCTTTGGTGACAGGGAAAGGAGATTTCCTGAGATGTTTCTCTGAGATTAGAGATTTATCAGTAATTTGATGCCTCGGTGATCTAAGAGGTCCAAGAATCCCTCTGCTGTTTTGCTGGCTTGCTTCGGTTCTAATGCTGTTCTCCAGGGCACCTGTTCAGTTGTCTGTGACCCCAAGGCATGTGTGTTCAGGGGGCAGGGGCAGGGATAGGTGTAGAATCCAAAGGGAAGCAGAGAGGGCAGGCATGGCCAAGTGCAGTGGGACCTGGAGAGCTGAATCAACCACATTCATAGCCATCATCTCCCCATTCAGGTACACCTTCGGTGCGGCGCTGTTCGTGGGCTGGGTGGCTGGAGCCCTCACGCTAATTGGGGGCGTGATGATGTGCATCGCCTGCCGGGGCCTGGCGCCTGAGGAAACCAAGTGAGTCTCCCCAGCCCAACACAGGCAGACGTTTGATCTGAGCCCATTTGAACATATAATTTGCAGCCAGAATGATCAGTCTAGGCATATGGAATAGCACTGTTCAGAATGAACCTCCTCTTTTATGAGGAACAGAAAAAAATAGAACAGGAATATTTCCACCTGAGCATATGTAGGTGTGAACCTATTTGAAAGGGGAAAAACCACCCATGGGTTCCCTCTGGCTCCAGTATTCTGTAACTCAGTCGCTCTCAGCTTGGAGCAATTTTGCCCCAAGGGATGATTGTTGCAGCTTTGATTTGGGGGGTAAATGATACTGGCATCTAGTGGGTGGAGGCCAGGGATGTTGCCAAACATCCTACAATGCACAGGCGGCCCCCACAACAAAGCACACATCTCAAAACCAATAGCACTGCTGTTGAGAAACCTTGCTGTAGCTCCGTAAATGGACCCAGAGCTGATGACCTGGATCACAGTCTGGTTCTACTGCCAACTAGTCCTGCGACCACTAGCAAATCATTTGCCCCCTCTGGACCTGTTCCTTTCTCCATAAACTGAACAGAGGAGAGGGGAAGGGCTGCATGTGGTACCTTCCAGCTCAAAATTCTATGGTTCTGTAGCGTAACCTTGTTCCCCTGGACGTTGTTTCTGATTCAGCTTCACTTTAACTGAATAACAGAGGGGACTCAGCAGTCAGTCACCACCAACTCTAATACAAAGCAGGGAATTCTGCTCCACTGCAGAGACCGAAAAACCAGTGTCCCAAAACCTAGAGGACCAATTCTCTCTGTTGGCCCAGGTCTAAGGGTTTCCTGGGACACTGGACTTTTGGTGCTAAAACTAAGACATTCTGGGGTAAATGAGGTGCTTTGTCCTCCTACCAACTACATCTACGGTCGTGGGATGTTTCTTTTTCTTTCAGCTACAAAGCCGTGTCTTATCATGCCTCGGGCCACAATGTCGCCTACAAGACCGGAGGCTTCAAGGCCAGCACTGGCTTTGGGCCCACCGCCAAAAACAAGATATACGATGGGGGTGCCCGCCCAGAGGACGAGGTACAATCTCATCCTTCCAAGTATGACTACGTGTAGCACTCCAAGGCACCTCGGCATGGGCAGAAGAAAACCCCAATTAGAGCTAACCCCAAAAAAAAGGACATTTTACCTTGATTCCTGATTGCTTTTGACTCTCTGCTGGAAGCTAGAAAAGCATTAATTTTGCCTGTGGTGAGGCCAGACGGTCTTCGTCACATATTTTCATCTCTAAATATTCTGTCACAAAACATCGAGTTACCAGATATGAATTAGAGGCTATTGCTCACATTCTTCAACCCTCTATTTCTTTTTTTTAATATAACCTTCCTAATCTGATGATAGCATGTGAATTCCTGTCAGACACTTGGGTGATTTAGACAGACTCTTCCTCCTCTAGCCAATAGCCCGTTGATGATCTATTTCTCAACTCATCCCCCAGAACAATTGTGAAGGGAAAAACAGAGTCAGTCAAAAGACATCATTTCCAGCTATTTGATTTTGTGCCTCTCCCAACCTCCAACTGGGCTACCAATAAACACTGATTGAAGAAGAGGTGAAAAGGGAAATGTATTTGTAATGTCTCTAACTTATTATCTGAGTTTTGTTACACTGTGACCTTAAATGTCACCTGGACTAAAGTGATTTCAGTTTGAGGAAACCAAACCTTTCAGTTTAATTTGGCATCTGCTAATTACAGCAAGACTCTCCCAAGGGTTTCCTGCCCTCCACTGTAGGTCTCTTTTCTGTCACAGGCCAGAAAGAGTCTCTGGAAGAATGAGAAGAGAATATTATTATTGTTATTATTATTTTTGCTATTCTAAATATATTTGGTATTCTACATATAAATAAATAATATATTAGTAAAATGATATACTATCTCTGTGAATTAGCCTCATTCCTACACTTAAATAGAAGAAAATGAAAAACTACATTGTACTTTGTAAAAATCATACTTAAGTCCAAATTTCATAAACTGCTCACTGGTCCTAATTCCCTTTGAAGTCCCCAGGAGTCAGATTATAATGATAGCATCAGTGTAACCTATGTAAAAACCAAATAATGGCCCAGCCATCAGTGGCTGAGTGTCAACCCATGCACCAAGAGGTCACTGGTTTGATTCCCAGTCAGGGCACATGCCCAGGTTGTGGGCCCAATCCCCAGTGGGGGGCATGCAGGAGGCAGCCAGTCAATGTTCTCTCCCTCATCAATGTTTCTATCTCTCTTTCTCTTTCCCTTCTTCTCTCTCTCAGATCAATAAAGAAAAAATACTTAAAAATTAATAATAATAACGGAACACAACAGGTCCTAGGAAGTGAGTTGAAACTAGGTTTTTTTTAACGATGAAGCTTAATTTAATGTAATGTTTCTTAGTGGTACTTGTTCACAGGCTACAGGCCACTGTCATCTGACAGTAGACTTACTTGGCACCATGGTCAGCTTTGCTACTCAGAAAACAGTTCCTTTCACTAAATTCACCTAGACTGGTTAGACCACTGAATGTTTAAGAACCAAAAGCCCTTTGTAGCCACACACCTTCCCTGTGTTTACACATCACTGCTGCAGAAACCTAAACTCCGTCCAGCCACCAGAATTTCATCCCAGCACAAGGGCCAGAATAGGCTCCCTGGGAAACTGAGGTATTGGTAGGGGTGAAGGAAAAATCTGATCATTGAGTTATTATTTGGAGGGAAAAATGTTCTCACACCAATAATGCATATAACAGTGACCTCCAAGGAGATGGGTAAATATTCATAGGGGTCTTTAGGCTGGGAAGACTATATCTGGAGAAAGACCAGACCATGGCCCATTAAACAGAGAGGAATGGTGTTCACCAAGAGAGAAAACGGTAAACTCAGAGACCCTTCTCACGGAGACAGCAAAGGTTTTAGTCCAAATCAAATAGAGTTCTCATGGAACTGATTGTCTAAGATGGGGTAAATGATGGACACATAAATCAATTCAAGAATAAAAAGTGAGCAATCTAGGGCTTGGAGATCATTAAGGGTCCTCAGGATTTTGAATCAAAGGCCTTGGGACACAATGAGCTCTCTCCCTCCTACCACCAGAAAGTCCCTGGCTGGGTCTGAGACACTAGGGTGTGGCTCAGTTGGGTTTTTAATTAGCAACTTCTCTGTCCAACACTTAATTGTTTGAAAGTCTCCATGTAGTTAGATTGTGCTTTGTTTTTGTTTTTTTATTGTTGCTCCTCCCTCTTATTGTATATGCATTGAATATGGACCTGCATGTTTTGTTACTTAAATATTAAAAACGTATCTCACGTTTGAACAGCTTCTGTTGTTTTTTTTCTAAGCTTCGGGAAGTGGAAGTGGGAGTGGGAGTCTCAGCACCTCAAAGCTGAGTGCATCTTCCTGGACTGTTTCTGTTGGCACCGAAATCCCTGCATCCAGGAAACCCCTCCGCCCCCAGAAGCCCAGGAGATCTAGGCGCCCTGTGCCAAGGCTACAAAGCTAATAGAAAGACTGTCCAACCAGGGTGGGTCTGGCCCCACCCTCACTCTCTTTCCACCGTGCCAGAGTGAATCCTGCTAAACAGGCAAAATACACACATACAAACACAGTTAGGAAGAAAAGAAGGAGTAAATCTATTTTAAGCACCAACAACAACAAAAAATGTTTGCTTATTAAACCAAGAAGCATAATACTTAAAACAATATAACACTGTAAAATTTCAATAATTAATTCTCAAGTTTAAAAAAGAAATGTCAAACAAGAGCAAGTCTGTTGTATATGGTGGGCAGACAGATGGCAGGGATGGGGGAGGACATCAGGCTAGCTGGTCCCTCTGAGCTGACACATTCAGCTTCCGCAAAGCTCTCGGTAGGCTGTGCAACGTGTGTGCACTTCTAAGGGCTTCCGGGCTAAAGAGATCTGTGATGTGGCGCCACCCGGAAGGGCAGGGAAAGGCCCAGGGCCCCCAAAGTGCACTCTCTACAGGTGAAATCCCTCCCAGTGGTGGCAGCCAAAAGCCACCCAAATATCACTGAGACTGGGTTTGGGCTGAGCTCATTTCATGTCAGCGCTAATCTTAGCTGGGAGCTCCCCAACAGTGTCTGGGACCGGAGTCAGTTTCCACTGCCACTGAGAGTGTTCCCATTCCTTTCCTGTCTCAAGTGGAGCTGGATGTGACCCTGCTCACTCTGGCCTCAGGGTGTTGACTAGTCCAGGCTTTCCCTCTTATCAAAGCTGACGCCCTTAGGCCTTGCTGACAATAAAAGCCTTGTTTATTTTGTTCAACTAGCCAACTTGAAGTTCCCCAAAGAATTTTTGAAAGGTAAAACAGCAAACATATTAAGCCTGTGGGACTTTGCCACCCATACTTATTGCCCCAAGGAGAACTGTTGCCATGGCAATGGCTCTCAGAGAACAGAGTTGGGATGAAAGGTGAATAAAATGCCAAAAAGGAGCACAGGCTTCCCAGTCAGCCAGCCCCTTATGATACTTGGAGTGTTTACCCAAGTCTTAGGAGTCAAGTCATAATGAAGAGAGAGTGAGAGAAACAAAAATGTCCTACTGCCAACAAACATGTTGAGGGATGGGGGTCGGGGGTCAGAATGTGAGTGGAGATGTTTTGACATCAACAGTGAGCAGATGTGACTGTATCTTTTCCTGAGGGCTGGCAGAACCCTCTCATCAGTAGCTTTTGTGCAGGCAGACCAGTCCCATCTGTCTGCAAATGGGCACAGCCAATGGAGCAGACAGAACTCAATGAAGGGTTCACCAAAGAGTTGGTGTCAGAATGACCCTCATGGCCTCTTTGGCAAGATACTCCAAGACTCTACGTGGTTCATTCTCTGTGACCTAGTAGTCCCCATTCCTGGGAATCTGCCCAAAGGAAATCATTCTGACTAAAAAATGTTGTGGTTCCATGGCTAAGAAAACTGTCGGCAGAAGGGTGGTGTGCAGAAAACATGAAAAGGAACTTGGCACTGTTATCACTCCAGCCGCATGTTTTCCCGGGTGCAAGGAATCCCGCAGAAAGCAGTGCATGAAAGCTGAGCAAAGATAAAACTTTGACTTCCAAAAAAGCAAAATTTAATCCGTATGGAACAAGTAAGTTCTCCACTTGCAGAATTCGTAAAAGTTCTGTGCACCGGCTGGGTTCTCATTACTGCCAGGTCTGTGCCTACAAAAAGGGCATCTGTGCAATGTGTGGAAAAGGTTTTAGTTAGCAAAAACTACCAGCCAACATGTTGCATCGATGAAGTTTCCAGCTTTCTGTATAATTTTACTTTCTGCTGGGGCTTTCCAAGGCATGACATAGATACTCAAGTTATAAGATAACATGTTTTAAGACAAATAATTAACTTTAAACCAACGAATTTTATAGGTATTCATTCTTTTGTTTTTAAGAAGTTCTGGACAGCACAGTGTAACTCATCTTCTGCCTGAAGTTGTTCTTTTCCTTACAATCATTTTATTGAATGAGAATAAATGTCAAATTTAACTTTTTTTTTCTTTTTTTTTCTTTTTTTTTTAATCCTCATGCAAGGATACTTTTCCATTGATTTTCAGATACAGTGGGAGGGATGGAGGGAAGGAAAGAGAGAGAAACATCTATGTGAGAGAGACACATTGACTGGTGGCCTTCAGCACGTCCCCAACAAGGGTCAGGGATCAAATCGCAACCAAGGTACGCACCCCTGACTGGAATCGAACCCATGACTCTTTGGTCCACAGGTCATCATTCCAACTGCTGAGCCAGGACCAAATTTAACTTTATTTATTTATTTATTTATTTATTTATTTATTTATTTAACATTATTTGTGTAAATTTTATCATCCTCTCCCTCTACTTTATTTACAGATATTGCAAATGTGAGAAGGAGATTATTGATATTTTGCCTTCAACTTGGCATCCAGACTTAAAATGTTTCCTTCAATCCTTTGTTGGTTGCAGAGTTATTAGATTCAGCAGTCCCTTGATTAACTGCAGTTTCACAGAGTGTTTATCTGAGACCATTATTGCTGAATGGTTCCTAGGTAATTAGCCCAGACCCAAGCCAAACACAAGTTGTATTTGTGATTTTTCATTTTTTTCTTGATGCTAAAATGCTAGT